CCAACCTTCTAAATAATCCTTTATATGTGGTTCAGAGTTCTGAGACCATCCCTACTTGGTCTGGTATTCTGTGTTGTTGGCTGATGTAGCTCCTCACTGCACTTGCTCCCTCTCCTCCATCTTGTTTGTTTTCCTACATTTATTTTTAAGTTAAGCAACAGTAAGTCATGTGGAGAAGGCTATGGGGCTTTATTATATATCATCACATCCGTTGATTGGATACGTAGAGCATCACTGTGAAGGTGGTCATCATGGTGGGCCGCTAGCTGTGAATGAATGGAGCTATAGTGTGCCTTCTCCATATGTGCTGTGCTGCCCCCAGCCACTGCTGGAACACAATCTCAGAGTCTGACTCATTCCTATAATAGGAATCATAAATACAAAGTTGTTTTTGTAGATCGTAGCTTACAAGTAGTTCAATTTTAGCTGTGCAGTTTTTAACTTGACTACCTTTTCTATTCAGGTCTCAGATTGCTTACATCCATACATATGTGTAGTCAAATGTGGCAAAGTCTTTTTGGGTAACTTGTGTGATTCCTAGGAATACCATGCTTTTTGGGTAAACAGTGTGATTCCTAGGAATACCATGCTTTTTCATGCAATTTTGCCTTCGATCATCAGGGTTTTTTTTATTACATATATGGATGTTGTTGAACTGTGTATCCTCCACTTACCTAAAAGATTTTTGTCAGTTACAAGTTTTCTGAAAACTGCTTCTGCAGTGGGTGATCGACAGATGTTTCCAGACATACAAACTACATGAACTTGGGAGCCTGCTCTGCCATCCGCTCGCACACTGAGAGAAGCACAAAGTCTGTGTTGTTGTTGTTAAGTGCCCTCAAGTTGATTCTGACTCATACCGACCCTATGTAGGGTATCCGAGTTGGGTTTGAACTGCCAAATGTTTTGTTAACAGTTCAGTGCTTATCCAGCAGTGCCACAACACGAAGTCGTTAGGAGTTCTTTATACCCATTTATGCCCCTGGCACTAGCTAGACACTCCAGGATGTGGGGTGCTGTCCACCCCCAGTGAGGCTGAGGAATACAAGTCCATGGATGCTGTTCTATGGAATTTCAGCAGCTTCTGCCTTCATTAAGCATTCTTCTGGTTGCATGTAATTGCCTAATCTGGTTCCAGAGTTAAGTTACTTCTGGTAGTTGTTCCTAGTTTGAAAAAGCTGTTTTAGTACATGAACTGACCCCTGAAACTTCTTCCTATTCTACCAGTTTTCTGTGTGTTTTAAGTTCATCTCTTTGTATAGCTTTTTTTGTAGTTACTCTGTTATACTATATGAGTACTTATCACAGTCCTTTTATAATTGTTGTAAATGTTTCTTTTATATATATTTAAAACCATATCAACTAGTATATTCAGTTTAGAAAACTCAAGAGAAGCAAAGTCTATTCTATATGTCCATATTATTATGTATCTTGTTTTTCCTTCCTTTTTAATTTTCCAAGGTTTTTAATTTTTCTTGTTTTCTTCTATTTAGAAAACTTCCTTTAGGGTAGGTCAGCTGTTGAGAGATTATTATAGGGTGGATTTTTTGTTTACCTGGTTGAGGTTTGCTCAGCCTCTTCAGTCTATAAATATATGAACTTTTCAAACCTATCTTTTTTTCCCCCCTCCTTTTCCAGTACTCTTTTTTGCCTTAAATATGACACAGTTATTTTCCAAGTCTGACAGATTCCCGAGTCTCTGTTTTTTGGTTCATTACTTATTTTTCAGTCCTTTTTTTTAATGTCATCAAGATTGGCTAATTTATATTTTACTGATTCTTTCTTCTGCTCCCCTGCATTCTCAGTTGAGTCTATCCACTCATCTGAACCGTTACTTCATTTTTTTTTCAGTTGTGAGGTAAACATTTGTTTCCTCTTTATATTTATTTCTCTTCTGAAATTTTCTGATTCTTTGCTGAAGCTTTCTATTTTTTCATGTCTTCATAATTCATTGTTGAAGCATTTTTACTATGGCTGCTGTAAAATATTTGTCATACAGTTTTAATATCTATTAAGTCTAATGAGATGTTTGTGTGTGTGTGTATATATATTGTTTATTACTTAATTGAGTTCTTTCTGGTTGTTTTTGTGATTTTCATGAAAAAGCACACCATTTTTGTGTTATGTTATAAGACGGCATCTTATTTACGCCTTCCGTTGTAGCCGGCATCCTTTGACGGGCTCTTGCATGGAAGGGCCCAGTGCAGCCTCATACTGCCAGCTGGAGGTAGACATTCCGGTGTCCCATTTGGTCTCTGTTGACATCTAAGAGGAAACTTGCTCTTTCTGATGGAAGAGGATGGGGGGGACTCATTGCATCCTAGCAAGGGTGGAAGCAAGCCTAGGCTTCATGGTTGAGAGAGGGGCCACAGTTTTTTTTCCATGGTGTTAAGCTGAAGTTAGAATAGATATCGCCTAAACTTTTGTTTTCCTGTTGTTGTTGTTGTTGATAAGTGCTATTGGTTCGACCCTTTATTAGGTTTCTGAGTAACAGCTGGTGGGTTTGAACCACTGACCTTGTGGATCGCAGTCCAGTGTCGATTCTGTAGCACCACACCAGGAGTTCTAGACTGTCCCTTTTCTGGTCTTTGGCTTGAGAGAGCAAATGTTTCTTGGGGACTTTTTGAGTTTGCTCCTTAGCATTTCCAGATTTCTGGTTTCTTCAGCCCCAAGTCTGGGTGGAATAAATGAGGCAAAAACAAAACCTAGGGAATTAACCACCATGTTATAGTCCTTGTGTCTTGAGGACCCTAGCCAGTTTGCTGTTTTCCTTTCACCTTTCAGATTTTTCTTAGGTTTGTTCATATATATTGTCCATGCTTTTTTATAGGACAGTGGGAGGAATAAGGAAAAGTACACTGAGTCCAGCTTCCCAGAAGTTTTTAAAGGGGCGCTGGACAAGTAATGTGTGAAAATTTCAAAAATGGCTTACAGGGTCTGCATCCATTTTTATATAGCAGCTTTGCTCTTTGTAAGTAAACCATATACAAGGGACTTTCAAGAAGTTTATGGAAAAATTCCAGTATATTTTAGTTTCATTTTTTCCGTGTACTTTTTGAAGCCCCCTTGTACACCTGTATAGGGAGCATCTGTTAGCATTGGTCTAGAACATACCATCAGTCTTTAAGAAATACAAAGGGAGCAAAGCTGCCTATTTTCCTCTCGGCTCTTCCCATCTATCTGGGACAAAAAGACCAACATGCACAAAATAATGCTAATTTACACTGCAGTCCATAAGTAGCAAAGGAAAAACTGGGTGTCATTAGTGAAGATAAGGAGTTCAAATTCACCAGTGGCTCCTTTGTTGTTGTTGTTATGTGCCGTGGAGTTGGTTCCGACTCATAGCGACCCTGTACAGAGTTTCCGAGGCTGTAAATCTTTACGGGAGCAGAAAGCCTCATCTTTTCCTGCAGAACAGCTGGTAGTTTTGAACTGCTGACTGTGAGGTTCGCAGCCCGATTCGTAACCACTACCCTACCAGAGCTCCTTAGTGGCTCCTTGGAAGTCCTATATTGGATTGATAGGAGTTGGTACCGACCGAAGGCACTTAACAACAGTGAAGATAATCAGATTTATAAATGAAATCTTTTTTTTTTTAACTTGTGTAAGTGAAGAGTCTGTTACCTAGATGTGCAATGTGTATTCTCTGTCAAGGAACCTCGCTTGGGAAGCTTCTCTCCATTGCAGGTCTTTTGTAGGTGACACATCTTTGTAGTAAGACTATTAACAACAAGGCCTTCACATACACAAGTTAAAGAAAAGGATTTCATTTATAGTCTTTTTATCTTCACTGTTGTTAAGTGCCATTGAATCAGTACCGACTCCTTGTGACCCAATACAGGGCTGCAGAAGAGCAGCTGGAGAATTTGAACTACCAATCTTGCAGTTAGCAGTCCCGTGCTTTCCTACAGTGCCATGCTCTCCTTACATGCCACACACTTGCTGTTGAGTCAGTACCTACTCCTATGTAGGGTATCTAAGGAGCAGCTGGAGTTCTGGTGTGTCACTGTAGGATAAGCAGTTGACCACCAGGTCAGTTTGAAATACAAGGTTGGCAGTTCAAATTTAACTAGCCACTCCTCAGAAACCGTATACAGGGTCATTAATGGATCCTAACTGACTGGAAGGCAATTAACAACAACAATAGAGGTATATAACTTTGTTGGTCAATAACACAACTAGTTACTTTTAATTGTGTATATTTGATTAGTTCTCTCTGCTCTTTGCTATAGTTTTAATGCAATGAATTTTTATTGCATTAAAATAGAAAATCAGAAGTTCTTTTAAATGTATTTATGAATATGCTAGGGTTATTGGTAGGTAGAACCTTCAGTAGATGATAAATAGGTAACTATTCTTCACAGTGACACTGACTTTGTGTACCTGTGTGTATACCACAATTAAAATTATTCCCAGGATAAATGCACATGTGTATTTAGCATAACATGAGGGAGTATTTATGAAGGGGGCTTAAGTTCTATCCAGCTGGTAGTTTCCTTTGGCCTTCAGCAAAAGAGTTTACATTTTCTTTGAAAGCCAATTTCATTTTCATTTGTAGTTGGGTTTTCCACATACACCTTGTGGTGATTGGCAGAGGGGGATATGGTTATTTATGTCAGTGTATGTGAACATGATAAAGATCCCTGATACCACAGTGGGTTAGGCACTGGGCTATTAACCTCAAGGTCAACAGTTTAAACCCAGCAGTAGCTCCATGAGAAAGATGAGGTTGTCAGCTCCCATGAAGATTTAGTCTCAGAGTCTCAGAAGCCCTATGGAGCAGTTCTGCTCTGTCCTGTAGGGTTGTCGTGAGTTGAAATTGACTTTACAGTGGTTTATTTTTTTGTTTGAGTATCCTTTTCAGGTTTTGAGGAACATGTTAATGCTTATATTGTAAAACACAGCATATATTTGGGGACCTGTGTGTGGAAATTAAAAGAAATATATTCTGTTTTGATTATATGGTCCAGGAATTAATCTATTTTTATTCTTTATTGCAGATGGAATCTGGTGGCACAGTTTTGAGTACCAACTGGTCTGATGTAGGTAAAAGGAAAGTTGAAATCAATCCTCCTGATGATATGGAATGGAAAAAGTACTAAATAAATTAAATTGTTATCACTGCATTGTGTATATTCACCTAATATCCATTATGCATAAATATTGCATTCTTGAATTTTGAGCACTGAATATCTTTTTGAACGATGATACCTCTTTACCTCTTTGTGCTTTAGAAATTACTTTCCTTCAAGTATTCTAAGTGTCTAATGAAGAATGAAGATCACACTTTATCACTTCTGTCCTTAAGAATTTCAGACATGCTGAAACGGAATGAAGTCTCATTTGCTGCTAGATAATTTCTATCTAGATGTGGGAGTGGAGAAATCTTTAATGGGATATCTGAAGTTATTGCCTTATTTTTGATGCAGTATTCTGTTAATAATTTATTAGACCTGGCAACTCTGGGTGAGCATAGATTTTTTTTCTTTCAATCTCAGTGTTATATTGTGTATTCTTTTAAACACTGCTTTTGAATGGAGTTGTAAATACAGTTTTTCTATGAAGAAGTTTGGTTTATTTACCTTTTTCTTTAAGTTTTTAATGAGAACTTTGAGAAACTATCATAGGATATTTACATTTGGTTCTTTATATGGGAAGTATTTGTGATTTCCCTGAGATTTTGGTCCTTACCTTCCAAAGTTCTGCATAAACTATGAACACCTGAATTTAACCTGCTGCAAACTCAGTTATATGGAAGGATAATCTGTGATGCTAGGCCAGGGAGGGAGGGATCTCCATGAGCCCAGCTCCACTTGCAGCTGCTTTTCCCACAGCAGGAGTCCTGATATAGCATTGGCTTTTTTGTACTTTTTTTTTTTGCTCCCCCCTCCCCCCCCTTAATTAGAAAATCTTTGTTCTCATATCCCCACAGTTAACTTTAGTTTCAAGGTTAAAGGTAGCTGCTGTGATAGTAAATTAATATGCACATATTTAGTACCTACTCGGTGCTTAGAATAAATAGTTACTATGGAAATATATAACCTAAAAGACATAATTATTAACTTCAATGAGTTTATAATCTAGCAGAGAGAGAAAATTAACATTCATGAAGGTATTATGAAATAGTTCAATACTGAACTCTGGTTATAAATACAGTTTTGAGGGAGGAAGATGTTCTATTGATAAATTCTTCACAGTCTAAACACTTGTAAAGCACAGCAAGATGACCTGCACTCTTGACTGTTTTCCAACCATGATTTTGCTTGCTCTTCACCCATAATAACCTGAGAGCTTGGGTTTTGTCAGGTGTTACTAATATTTTTGTGGCGAGGTAATACTTTTATTACTTAGAGCTGAGGGTAGGGTTAATGGGAGGCAAGTTGGCCTTGATGTGAGCCTCTGAGAAGGGGGGCATCCAGCTCCTCCTTTCTAGTCCTTTGATGTAGGGGAATTCAGAGAAGAAATGGAAGTGGATGATAGTAGATCATGCCCAACCTATTGTTACAGCTTGTTTAAGCACACAGGAGTTTTAGTTGCCTTTTTGCTGACTTAGCACTATGAGTAATTTTTTAAATCTTTTAACATTGAAAGAGGCAAAAATACATTTTTGCTTGAAAGAAATTTTAGCAAGTTTTCCCTTACGGAAACAAAACAGTGCTTTTTGGTTCTATATGTTCTAAGAGGAAGAGGAGGCAAGACAAGAATCCTAGCTGTAGCAGTTCTCTGCCTCTTACTAGCTTCATAATCTCTGCTGGATTTACCGTTTTTGTGTCTGTTTTCTGTTAACTATCAAGTTTTAGAATTATTATTTTTTTAAGTCCATGGTTTTAAATAAACAGTCTGCCACCTGAGAAATCTTATGGCTTTATTGAACTTCTGGTGTGGCGCTGCAGGATCAGCACTGGACTTCGAATCACAATGTCAGCAGTTCAAACCCACCAGCTGCTCCTCAGAAACCCTGTCCAGGGTTGCTATGAGTTGGCACCAACTTGACAGCACTTAACAACAATATCATTGCTTTATTATAATAGAAATTGTTCCTTTTGAAAAAAGAAAATTCTAGTACCAGTTTTGTTTGTATTTTAAAGGAGTCCTGGTGTGGCACTGTAGGATACGCACTGGACCAAAAGGCTGGTTTGAACCACAGGGTTAGTGGTTCAGACTCACCAGCTGCTTCTTGGAAACCCCATACAAGGATGCTGTGAGTCAGGGCTGATTCATCGGCACTTCACAACATCAACAATGCTTATCTCCTGGCTGCATTTGCTTAGTGGTGTAGGATTTAGGATTCTGCTGGGTTAAAATGCTTCATAATATGTATATATAACTAAAAGCATGATCAGATGCACCTGGCCTAAAAACATTAATTAGGCTTATGGGCCAAGGAGGAACTGTGGACACGTAGGCTAGATTTCTGCCGTATGGTTCCACTATAAAGTACTGCTCCTCTGTCATCATTGTAGATAATGAAATGGATGATAGTGAATTCATTCCAATTAAGAGCCTCTTTACTTCTGTCCATATTCTGTACACTCGATACTCTGGGCTGTGAATTGAGTCACTTTCATTTTAGATTTCCTTTTTTATTTCTCATGCTCTGTTCTCAGTGTTGTAGTTAACCTTTTATATTTCTTCAGAATTAACGTTTCTATCTCTTTTATTTCTTATTTTTGTTGTTAAGATTTAGTTCTGGGGTGGTTTTATTTTTCTCCTGTTCTTAGAGACCCTATCATCTGTTCTCCTGATTTCTGTAAGCCTTTGCACCTCATGACTTCCTTCCTTTTTCTCCGTGACTCCTTCATTGTCCTCCAGAACCCTTGAACAAGGCAGCCCTGCGATCTAGCAGTCACTTCAGACTGGCTGTACCACATGTCTGCAACATCAAGGTCCATTTTGATCGTTTTCTGCATTGTGCCTGTATATCCATTCAGAGCTGGTTTCCAGTGAATAAGTTCAGTTTTCTACATTGCCCGTTATTGTCATTGAGCTGTTTTTGACTCATAGCAACCCTGTATAAGGCTTCCAAGGAGTGGCTGGTGTTTGAACCACTGACCTTGTGGTTCATACCAACCTTGTGGTTCAGTGATTTATCCCACAGCACCACACCAAGACTTGTATTTGTTGTTGTTAAGTCGGTTCTGACCCATAGTGACCCTGTATAGATTTTGCATATACATTTAAAATGGTGTGTTGTTGTTAAGTCGGTTCTGACCCATAGTGACCCTGTATAGATTTTGCATATACATTTAAAATGGTGTTGTGTTGTTGTTAAGTCGGTTCTGACCCATAGTGACCCTGTATAGATTTTGCATATACATTTAAAATGGTGTTGTGTTGTTGTTAGGTGCTGTCAAGTCGACTCCAACTCTTTAATGACCCTGTATAGTATTTCCAAGAAGCAGCTGGTGAGTTTGAACAGCTGACCTTAGCAGTCCAGGCTTTTTCTGCAGTGTGCACATAGCACTATGCTGTTATGAATAGTTTAGGGAGCATTTTAGTTTCATTCTTATTTAAATGTTTTCTGCTGTCCCTTCCCATTCCTTTCACCTTACCTACATTAGATAAAGTCTTTGATCTCTGAGGTATGTCACTGGCCCAGAGCAGAATTGCTTATTGATTTACCTACCATCTGGTCAACTTAATAATTCACTTTAATGCTACTAGGATGATCCTTGTCCAATCCATATTAGTGTACAGCTCTCTCTGACATGTAGCTGTTACCAACAGTTCAGAAAAGTAGAACATCTTTTTTGGGTGTTAGTTTCTTTGCTTGGGTGTTTTGTTGTCATTGTTTTTACTGGATTGACTTCTTTGTAACCAATTCTTAGGATGTGTACCAATACTCGCCCCTGCTACTGCAGCCATCTGAGACAAAGGATTTCAGTTATCCGTTTCTTAGAGGAACCACGGAAGGGAGGTAATAAAAGCTACATGGGTTTATATGCAAAGAAGGGTTATAGGTATTTTTAAGTAAGAGGGATTGTCAGTACTGATATGGTTTCCCTTTATTATTGTAAGATCATTTTACACACCAAGAGGTTTTATTCTGAAAATGTCTGGGAACTTGTGAGTAAATTAGAGAGATACTGATTTACTCTTAAATGTTACTGTTTGAGGGTAGCATTTTGATTTGCTTCTGAGATGATTTTCTCTCTTAACCTCTCTTCCTACTTAATAAACTTGATCCCCCCAAAATCATACACATTCTTTAAAACGAAACAAAAACTTTATTGTGATTTGAGTGAAAGTTTACAAAGCAAATTGGTTTTCCACTCAACAATTCAGATACATTTTGATCTGTGACAGTGATTGTAAACCCCACAATAGAATATAGCACTCTTCCTGCTTCCTCCCTGTGTTCACTATTTCTGTGTATCCGTTTCTCTCCCTTCCTGCCTTCTGAGCTTTATTCCTGGGCAGATGCTGCCCTTCGTACCTGGTGGTGTTCACTGCTCAGCTATGGAGCTGGGATTTGAACCTTGGCAGAGCTCATGTTTTTAACCACTGTTACTCCCTGGTGTGCTGCTGTAGGGTAAGCATTACACTGCTAACCCACCAGCTGCTCTTCAGAAACTCTATACAGGGTCGCTGTGAGTCGGAATCGACTCAGTGGCACTTACCAACAACACTGCCCCTCCAGATGAGTGACTGAATAACTATTATCACTAAACCAATGATCTGAAAATAAAAGCAGAATGTGTAAGTTGGAGGAATTGTTTATTTCTTCTTTTACATGAACTGGGGAGGTATATCCCTAAAAATCAGAATGTTATCCTCGTTTTCTTAAGGGAGAAAAGTTTATTAGGAATACCAACCTCTTGTATCTCACAGAAGTAGTTTTGATTTTTGTTTTTCTCAAGTCTAGATGATGACAGAGAAATGGGCTGTGAACCACAAGGTCGGCACCAGTTTGAGGCCACCAGAACCGACCGGACTGACAGCACTTAACAACAACAAACCACAATATACTGTATTTATTATTTTCTAAAATGCAAAAGTTTGAATTTTGATATATGTCTGGCTCCAAGAGTTTTGAGTAAAGAAACATTTACTTACATATGAGAAGCACACAGAGATTTGTTTAATGTTACAGATAACATCA